GATGCATCTCTTTCAAAATTGGCTGTAAATTTTTACGTTTACAGTTGAATTAATACAGTTATACAATATTGTACTCAGTATAAATCCTGTAAGACATAAAATTAAATGAGGTTTTAACCTTAAAAAAAATCTCCATTTCATTGTTAAAATACAGAGTTTCATACAGAAAAAAATTCATTTTTAATGCAATTGACATTAAGATGATTGCACATGTGTTTCTAATCTCTATATCTCTGGTTATTACTAGTCACAGTCGGTTACTTTCTGAGCTTCTTGGCATCTGAGCATGGATATAAAGTCATCAGGTAGATTTCAATGGTAATGTTTTGTGGCATGACTCAATATTATCTTTCTGAATAGTCTATCTGGAATTCAGAATTATATAATATATTTATATGGGGTAACTTTAATGGGAATTATATATATATTCAAACTTTATTGGGAATAATATATAAATATCAATTAACTCAAAGTAGTTGATTGTGCTGTTCATATCTCCTATCTATGTCAGTTATTTTTCTGGTATATTTATTTTATCTACCTGTATATACCCCTTTAATATTTCTCTCTCTCTCTCTCTCTCTCTCTCTCTCTCTCTCTGTGTGTGTGTGTGTGTGTGTGTGTGTGTGTGTGTTTCTGAGAATATAAACCAGGGCCTGTGCATGCCGGAAAGCACTCTATCAGTTAGCTATATTTATAGTAGTGGGTTATGATTTCTTGGTTCAATAATATTTCATTATAAGATAGTATCTTATTTTTGATAATAAACTTCATTTAAAATTCTATTTTGTCTAATACTGATTTAGCTATAAACTTTTTTTATATTTAACTTTTCAAATTTTTAATTTTATTTTATTTGTTCTAAATATTTTTATTTTATATTTCTGAATGTATTGCCTGCATGTATGTAAGTGAACCCATGTCATGAAATGCCTGTGAACGACAAAGAGGGCATTGGATCCCCTGCAACTGACTGACTAATAATTGTTAGTCACCACGTGGGAGCTAGCTAGGAATCAAACCCAGGTCTTCTACAAGAGCAGTCAGTGCTCTTAAGCACTGAGTCATCTCTTCAACCTAATGTTTCAATTTGTGTGCATGCACGCATGCACGTGTGTGTGTGTTTCTTGTTGGTTTGTTTGCTTTTAATCTATTATCTTTTTTAAAAAATCCATCCTCAAAAAAATTTGCTTTTTGATTAGGATGCTTAACCCATTTATATTTAGTGTGATTTTTTTTTGTACGTGTTTAATCATAAGTCCCCTATTGTTTGGCTTTATTTGTTATTGTTGTTATTGTTGTTCTTCTTGTTTTTTTGCTTAAATTTTGGGAAGATAAATATTTTTTAATTCCATTTTTAATATATCTCTAACTTCTGATTTATCCACATTGCATTATTTTTAAGAGACTGTGGATGCATGGGCTTTGGGCAGCTCTGCTCAATGGTAAGTGATCCCCTAAGTTAACAGGCTTAACTTAACTTTGGATAATAGACAGTGAGACAGAGATCAATTCATCATGGAGAGAAAGGCTTAAGACTTGATCCATTTAGCTTTTTTTCTTCTTAAATTTTTTTGTTATTTAATCATTTTTTCTTCATTTAGTATTTCATGATTGAATCAATAACTGTCTTAGTATCTCTACCCATACTGTGAGATGTGCACATTTTAAATTTGTATATTGAAAACTTTTGACATTTAATTTTATATACTAAGCTGATGAAGCAGGGCAATTTGTTTACAATGAATCTGCTAAAGACATCTGTAGTTAGTATTTCATAGAACTTAGTGCAGACTTTTGTAAGTATAGTTATGTAGATAAAATACCAAGTTAATTTCAGGCTCTTTTATAGGTTACCCAGATTCAGATTCCAGATAGCACACAATACTTTTCCAAACATATTTTTTAAATTATTATTTTTGACCCACTCCTTTCTCTGTTGAGATTAAAATCAAGTGCAAGGAGCTGATATTTAAAAGTGATATTCAAGCTCTCTTTTCTTCCAAGAGTACCTGGAGTTTGGTATAGACCTGAGGTGTTCAGCATGCTTTCATGTGTGGTGGAAAATTCAGTACCAAGGAGTGGATAGAAGAGTGGAAGGACCAAGAAGTACCATGGAGACTTCAGTCACAAATAGCAAGTAGGACTAAGGGAGGTCACAGATGAAAAACATTTTTTTAATTGGGTGCCATGTTGGAATACAAATCCCTTTCACTTCTGTTCTAAAGTTTTTATTTGTTTTTCTATAGTTCGGTTAATTTGATTTTATTCAAATAAAGTATAGTGCAGCAACTGGCCAGGAGAGGTAAGAGACTCACTCCATGAGATGTATGTTCTTCAAATAACAGAACATCAGGAAAGGTCTAAGTCTGTTACATGTGCGAGCACAAACGAGTGAGTAGATATGCATACATGAAGTTCAGTGTCAGAGCTGGAATGAAGTGAAATTCATTAGGAGCAACAAATAGCTAGAAATATAAGATAAAAAGGATTTACTGATAGCTTTTCTTCATTTTCAAAACAACAAAGACTTAAAATTCAATAACATTTGAGTAACAAACATACATGATTTGGAGTCTGGTGATGGAGGAGAAATATTAGACATGGCAAGGTCACTTTTCGATTTTTTAGGCTTCTTTGCACTTAGCTGCCAAGGCTTATCATAGCTTCTAAAATCTCTTCTGGTTCCTTTAGTTTCTGTTAAAACAAAATAAATAGAAAAACTAGCAATAAGAAAGAAAAATCCAGGTCGTGAAATAATTTTAATTTTAAATAATATCATAATTTTTAAATGGCTACAGGAAGGAGCCACAATGAATAGACATGGATTTTGTGGTTCACTCTATTCTATACTTCTGTCAAAAACAAATCATATATCACATTAGTGAAATAATTCAGCAAATATATCATTCATAGTTAATTAGCTGATTCGATATAACAGAAAGAAATTCACCTATCAGTTTAGCAGACACAGGATTTGAATGATATTGGAAATTCCAGTAGCAGTCATGATTTGTCGCTATCTAAAATTCTGAAAAGAATCCACACAGTTTCAAGCTATACAGTGAACAGACAAGAAGACTCTGCCTACATGATCTACTGACAAACCTGGAATTAGACAAACCTCTTCTCATTTAAGTTGAAACCAATATAAAAGCATTGCTCCAGGTAAGAATTCATAAAATATATAAAAACCAAGAACAGAATATTTAAGACACAGAAATCATAATTTTACAGTCATTGAATTTTGGAACCGAACTTTTTTTGTTCTACCAATATAAGTAAAATAACTGCGAAACACAACAAAATTATAGAGGAGGTGTGCTGACCAAGCTGTTATTAAAAGATAATTGGGCATAGAATTTTGTTTATGAGAGATTTTTATAAAATATTGACAGAAAACTAAAATGAAATACCATGTTCAAATGTGTGTTCAGTTCTGAAAAAAGCAAACTAATACTGTTGAAATTGAATCAGGGACACAGAGAACACACTTCACGCAATAAACCTCCCTAGCAGACAGTCCATAAAATAAGAAAAGCAATGTCACATGAAAGGGGAGAAATGATGTGCAACAGAAGAAACACAATTTGCACAAAATAAATTTCCTGAAAAATCACAGACAATATCTCAGCCAAAGTTTGGAATATAAAAAGTAAAGAAAAAATATCCGTAAGCATTCACAAAAAAGAATTGCTTTTTATTGCAAAAAGAAAGGAATAAAAATAAGGCTGCCTTTAGGTGTCTCCTCCACACTATTAAATGATATGCCTGTGAGAACACGCTGTGTCCTGGGTCACTAGATGCATTGAAATGCAATGGAGCATCTTCAGATATTTTAGAAAAGTGTTATGCCTCCGTCCTTGGACTGTTGAGACATTGTGCAACTAATTAGAAGATGCACAAAAATAACTCAAAATTGCAACCAAGGTTTAAGATTTACTACCCTCTAAATAATTACATCTTTGATTCTGTTCACATCCAAGAAATGGTTGTGCTTTCTTTCTCCTGCCATAAGCATTCCTCTCAAATATTTCCTCTTGAGAAATGTTCTTCCATTTTCAAACCCACATTTTATATCATATCATGCCCACTGATATTTTCTTTTTCACATGAGAGCACTTTTTTCTCTGCAGCTTCCTGGCATGTTTATACACAAAGGATCCACCCCTGCAACACACATACACTGGGAAGGCTGGAGATCTCATTTCCAGATTCTCCTGGAGTGGGAAACCGCCACAGTGAAGTGAAGACCTCATCTCTATGGGAAACGCCCCACCTTGTACTGCTCATCACCCCTCATTATCCACATTTTACCCCCTCATTTTCCCACTGCCCCATTTTAGACATTGCCACAATCTCACAATTGTCACCATCTTCTGACAACATGCATGAACCCCTGGGGACCTTTTTAAACTTACACACACTAGACACTTCAGACTTCCTTGCCCTTAGTTTTGAAGAGTATCACTTTTCTGATACTTCAGATATCCCAAACTAAGTCACCTACCAGATCTCATTCTCTGGAATCATTCTATTTCAAATGTGTTGATATCAGCTATCACCGTGTCTCAACCAGGTTGATACCCTATTTCTCTTGTTTTTATTGCAGCGATCTCCTATAAGATTCAGTTGCCTAAATGGGCCTCCATGTGTAAGTCTCTTTCTACACATAATTGATCTTTCATAGAAGACCTTGCGTTTGGATTAGTTGCTTGCACAGTTTGCTCACTTTAACTCTTCTACAAAATTTGACTTCTACATTCCAGGCTGGCACAACCACACTCCTCAACCAGTCCCTCAAAGTTTGGGGCCCTGTTAGAAAAAATCACTGCTGGTGGTTACCATGAGTTTTAATACACTAATTCATGTCTTCAACTTCAGTTATGCCCCAGAGCAGTTTAAAGACTCTCTTTAATTTTTCTAATGTGTCTTTCCTCTCCTTTGTGACTTATCAGAGTCAGGGTCACTTACTTCCCCTATCTGATCTCCAACTCACTTTTCTTCAACAATTAAATCACTGCTTAATAAACACCAAAATTTAATATCTTCCTTTATATCCCTTAATTGGTACATAATATAGCACATCTCCGATGACAATCTCATTCCTATAGTTTATATGATTGTGTAACCCTTTATTAGCCCTACATCTAGGGCTCCTGTCCTGTCTCACTCCACAGATTTAGACCTACATTCAACTGCCTGCTTTTTTACTGAGATGCTCCACAAATACTCGAGTTCATCAATAGGAATTCAGTTTTATTTCTCATCAAAAATTTAGTCTTGTGTTTCATCTTACTTTGCTAAGTGGGTGTTTATACCACTAGTTAAATCAGTAAACTGGTAGCTATAATAATCTACTCTCCTCTTTCACTCCATGAAATGACAAAATGACAGATGACATGGTAATTGTTACTCACGATCTCTGTACTCTCTTTTTATGGCATGTTAGTCCCTCCCCTTGAATGAAGACAGGACCATTAACCTGCTTCTATCCAATACAATATGGCAAAGATGTTGCATTGCCATGACTACATTATTTGTAGAAACTCCATTTCAACAGACTTCTTTGTTTGGAAGAAATAAACTGTCATGAAGCGAGAGTCATGCAGCAGTAAACTCTACTTATATCTAGGAGCTGAGAATAAACCCTGGTTCCATGTCAGAAAGGAAATAGGGAACTCATTCATATGCTGTAGGAAGCTCATTTGCCAACAACCCAACTGGGCTTAGAAATGCATTATTCCTTAGTACAGTCTCCAGATGAGATTGCAACCCAGCCAACACTTTGATTTGCCTTGTGAAGCTGAGCAGAGTTGACTAAGCCATATATGAGTTCTGGCAAATGGACACTGAATGATAAATTGTGCTGATAAATAATTCAGAGTTTAATATACTACTCTTCCTCCAGATGAAATTATTTATAACATATGGGCTCTCATATGCTTCCCGAGGCTCACATATACCCACGTGTTCTTCTGTGACATGGTGGGCATCACCTTAGCACCTACAAACCAAAGCCTGTGCCAGTAGATTCACCTGCTTTATAAACCCAAGAAAGCAAGGCCAAGAAAAAAAAAAAAAAAACAAGAGTTATCTCTTTATGGAAAGACTCATGCTCTAGTTTCCTGTCTGAAGAAGGTAACTTTTATGTAGAGATCATCATCAGAGATGTTTAATTACTTCAGAAGATATTTTATTCACTACCTCATTTAGTGTGGCCTGTGGCTTTGAGATGGTTTCAAGAAGATATTAATATGACAATGAGTAAACGGGGAAAGATTATCACAATCCTTTCCTCAGATCCTATAGATCATGAAAACAGGAAAGGGAAGACCTTGTCACCCCAGGAAGTCATTAGACCAGTCCGTCAAATGCACATGGGAATTGGGCAGTGAGTTAGTGACCCATGAAATAGCCATGAAGATTTGAAAGAAAATAGCATACTTAAAAACCAGTGTGTAAAAAGGTTGAAGCTGTGTCTACCCAATTGTATTATTCCTGTTTATTGCGGAAAGGAGGCTATCGTAGATTGGAAGCGTCCTCAGTGTTTGGAGTTTCCCAGTGTTCTACTATTCTTAATGCTGAATTGACTAAAAAAGGATAATATTGGGATTTTGGGGAAGTAGAAAAATGATCACTTTTATGCAAAAAATATAACTTTGGAGATACTTTCTTATTACTTTTCCATACAGATAAGCTGTAAGTTTTTAATTCAAATTGTTCATAAAAAGAAAACAAGTTTAGAATAATTACTTTGACTCCACACAGAATCAATCATTTTATGCAAATTGGAATAATTTCTACTAAAAAAGAACATACACACTGATTTTCATATATTGAAGCGTTATAATATCTTCAAACCCAAGAATATTTTATAACAAATTTTAGCATCTAACTAGTCACCATAAGTAATTATGCATTTAGATTTATCATATTATAATAAAAAAGACTGCCAAATTTTTATTAGATGTACCCAAGATTAACAGCATATATTTACATAAATATATGCTTTTTTATTTACCTGAGGTTTCACTTTCTGCCCAGAGAGCCGCCGATCCAGACAAAGTTCTTTGGAGCTGTCCACGATTTCCTTGTTTAGACTGAAGATGATCAATGAGAAAAGGGATTGGCTGGTCAGGTGTCTCAGTTATTAACTTGGTCATTAACTCCTAAAGACAAAACAGAACACACATTTACATCCAGTAAGTGTGAACACTACTGAGAATTTACCATTGCCAGGCACTGCTCTGACTGTCCACACACAGCAACTAGCTCAGGGCATCTCAGAGACCTCCCTAATGGTACAAGTTCATAATTGCCCTCAGTTGGGGGAAAATGAAGTGCAGACAAATTGACCATTTATGTCACATGATTAAAGCACAGAAAAACTTAGTTAAAAACATGCTAGAAATTTTATTTAAATTCTTTTCATTAAAGTATGGTTTCTGAATTTTAAATTTTGGATTACTATTTCCAGAGATGCTATTTAAAACTAAGCTTTAGTTAAAATTAACTTTTTATAATATATCTTCAGTTTCTCTTTTTAATCCCCAAAGAATATGTTGTTAGGATGGAAAAAAACAACTAATAATCCACAGAGTCACATAAAGCTAAAATAGTCTCTAAACAGTACAGAACCTAATGAGTTTCTCTCTTTCTCGCTCTCCCTCCCTGGGATTATGGCTTTGGATTTTTACTTTTTTATTACATTTCTTTATTCTCTCTCTCTCTCTCTCTCTCTCTCTCTCTCTCTCTCTCTCTCTCCCCTACAAAAGAGGCTCTTTCATTTTTAGATGCTTTAATGATACCTTAAATTGGGCCAAAATCTTCCCAAGGGTGATGTCTGCATATTGTTTCTATTCCCTCAGGAAGAACAAAAACCAGTCTCCAAATTGTGATCAATTACAATCCCAAGACTGTTGGAACATGAAGATTTCACCCCACATGGATGGTGTTTGGTGCTGCACACTGAGCTGAACTGGCACGCCCTTTACATTCTCGTCAGTCACATTTCATCTTGCTGATCCGAGCCTAAGATTTCAGTCTATCAACTGTCATTTTCCTTCTTGAGAATCATTGTAGTGAGTAGGCTACAAAGTCAGATATTAGAAGTTCTTGCAGAATGGAGAGGTATTATAAATTCCCCATTCTATTGGAAGTTTTTCTTGCTGTTGATGAGGATGATGGTCTGTTTCCTTTACCCAAAATGTTTTTCCTGGGATATTCAGAGGGCTTAACTGTCACTAGTAATCTCTAATGTCATGTTTTTAGAGAGGTTTATCCTAACTTTATGTCTTGTGCTGGATAGCTTTAGTTGTTGACTTGACCAGAGGTTAGAGAGAACTTTAATTAAGGAATTTTCTCCTTTGGACTGGCCTGTGGTCATGTCTGTGAGGCATTTTCTTGATTGTCCAATGATGTGAGAGGACCCATCCCACTGTGGGCAGTGCCACCCCCAGGCAGGCAGTCCTGTATTGTATAAGAAAGCAGGCTGAGCACAGGCCAAAGGAGCAAGCCAGTAAGCAACATTCCTCCAGGTTCCTGTCAAGAGTTCCTGCCTTGGCTTCCCTTGATCATGGACTGTGCTTGTAAGCCAAATAAACCTTTTCCTCCCCAAGGTGGTTTTGGTCAGTGTTTTTATCACAGCAATTGAAAGCAGACTAGAAGATGTCTTTATTATTTTGTAAATAGAGTCCTAGGTCACAGGCCTCAAAACAGCAAACAAAAGTTACGATTAAATGAAGAAAAGATGTTTAATAACTCACTTTGGAAGGACAAAAACCAAGAATTTCAGCCCATTTGGGGGCACTGACATGAGCTTTGGGTTTAAACAGAGGACTAATTGGGGCAGGCAGAAGAGCAATACATGATTGAGCAGTCTTGGTAAAACTGTGGTCTGGTTCATTATAATATCAGTTCTCTATGCAAGATAACCCCAAGAGGACAGTCTAGCTCCCCTGAGATAACTGATCCTGTGTGGAGATGATCTCATGTGAGAGTGATTTTTCAGCCACTTTCTAGAAATCTAAGATTACATCAGGTTTAGGACAATGTCTAGAGACTTTGGAGCATATTCTCAATGGTCTAGAACAGGATGCTGTGAAGGTTGACCATAAAACTTCCCAGTTAGTCTTATCTTTGTGCCTCAGTACTGAAAGGGAAGAGAGAGAGGTTAGGTAGCACCTATTTTCAGGTAGACACTCACTGGATGATTAACATGCAACATGCAGAGTCCAGCAGCATCTGCTCCAAAGTAAACACAGATGCAGCAAGAAGGCAGAGATGTCAGGTCAAGACTTTTATCCTGCTTCATTTACCTTGTGGGCCCAAGTGAAGACTCAGTACTTTTTAGCAAACACAGCTTATAAATGCCTGTTATATTTTATAACATTATTGTTTTATTTTCTATAAGAAGTTAGCACTCTCTAGAGTCATTTTGTTTAATATGTGTTCACCTACTTGTGGCCTATCCTTCCTCCTCAACTGTGGTGCTACAAACAAGAGCTTGCCTGGTTTCATATTAGCTTTCTAGTTGAGGCATCTATATTGGTGTCTAGTCAATAATGAATGAATGAGTGAATGCTTGGTTTATTGACTACAGGTTGAGATCAGCCATTATTATACCAACAAAAAACAATCATATCATTCATAGATATTCCAGTGAGCAACACGTAATCTTAAAATCTCCTATCCAAGAAAAAGCTATCATGAATACATCTGAGATATTTGTTCACATTTATAACAATATAGGAACACAGGAATTTATCTGAGTAAAAACTAAATAGATTTTATATATGACAAAACCCCAAGTTTATATAGAAGCATAAATAGAATAATTTAAGGTATATGGAAAATGTATGGTTTGAAAATAAAGTTGGAAATTAAAGGAGCAAAACAGTTTATGTAAAGAATATACTATTTGTCAAAATTATGTAATACTTTCTGTATTCTGGAAAACAGTTAAACTGGTGTAGTTCTTAATTATTATTATCATTGAAAATCTTAATTATTTTTCTTACAAATAATTCCTCTACTGATAGTCACAAAGTAATGAAGTGGTCAATTAAATCTCAATTACATGTCAGTGGAGCATAAGACAAATCATGTCAGATATGGCATTTGTAGAAAATAGCTGTATGATACTTTATTTGAACTCATTGTTCATTATGAAGACACTAGAAAATGGAAGGAAAAGTCAGAGGAAGGGCCAACTAAAGTGATCTTGTCTCAGAAATCCTGGACACTAAGATAAAGCAAACTTAGGTCAGATAGAATGGTTCTAGGGCTGCAGGAACTCTCTCTGGAGATCTTGGAAGATCTCATGATTTTCTTTCTAAAATTTTGCCTTCGAAGTGAGATGGAAAGTTTACATATTTTTTATTTGAAAATAAACTAATGTATTCCCTTATTTTCTTCAGAAGATGGATCAGCAATCGTAATAAATAAAATAACCTCTAAGGATCATGAATATAGTAATTTGGAGGGTGCATTTTTATTCCACCAACAAATATATAAAGTTTAAGACACAGAAGAAGTTGAGTCATAAGCAATTTAAAAAGCTAATGTTTTCAGTAAGAGTATAATGATTGGTCAAGAATCAGTTTTAGATGATTCTGCACATGATAGGTATTATATTACTTTGCAGTTAATCTGTGTACCCACTGGCATTTATACTTGAATGAATTTGAGGGTTTTAACTTGCAGAAATCCCTTTTCTAGGCATGAAAATTAAAATACTTAGATTTGCAAAGATGCTCCTGGTGATTGAAATGTGGGTCTCTTGCTATTACAAGGATGTAAAGACACAAAAATAGAGCTGAGGGGCTGATAGATTTGGGGAGGTGAGTATAGAGTTGTACCACTAATGTCAAGTTGAATCTAGAACCTTACTGCTGAAAGTTTCACAAGGATCATTCAGCATAAGGGGAAAAAAGTATTTCAGAGCGTTAAGACAGTCTCAAGTATGGAGCTGAACACATTCAGGCAGCAAGACTGTGACACATCTATGATTACAATTAGTGTAATTACAATTAATGTAAGTGGCATGAAATATCAAAGATTTTGATTGAGGTGTTTATAAATGAAAAGATATAACAATGTAGTAATAACATCCCCACCGCAAATAAAAATACTGTAGATGTTTTAGGCTAAAGACTTGGGGATAGATAAAGTACAAAAGTACAAATATTGACTTAAATGGAACCCTATTAGTACTCACAGGCTGAAAAACATACTAGCAAAGTTGTTCATAATAGACTGAATTCATAATTACTAATTGCAATAAATTACTGACATAAACAGCGTGCAACAGAAGGTATGGTCATGATTCAACATCCAAGCTTTGAAACTAGAAAGGCATTTTTGAATCATTCTTCTGTTAACTAGCTGTGTGACTTTGGGTAAGGCACTTTATCACTTTGGTATTCAACACTTCGCCAACTAAATGTCAATTATAGCAGTACCTACATCAAAGAGTTGTCATGGAGATAAAAAAGATAATTAGCAGAAAACATTCACAAAGTGTATATAGACTTTCTTTAAGACTGGGAACTGCTTTTCCTCCATATTATGTGGGCTAGAATATCCTATTGAGAGGCATTTTTAGATGTCTTGGAAAGCAGAGAAGCAGAAGAAACTATTCTCCAGAGTTGATTGCAGACAGAAATGAGAGTACATGAGAGATTAGAGCAACTTCCCAGAGAAGAGAGTCTGTGGAAAACTCCACTGCAGGCTGGACTAACTAGCTCTGCAAAAGCACCAGGGGACTGCAGCAGCTCCAGGAATGCAGTTCAGAGCCACCTGCTCCTGTGCTGTAGTCTGAGATCTGCAGAGTCAAAGGCCCTGAGCCTTGATGCCAGACCCTGTCTCCTGACCTCCAGCACTGTTTTCCTGACCTTGGTGCTGAATTCTCCTGTCTCTCCTCATGTAAACTCATTTTAACTAATCCTATTATGTCTCAGATACTTAAAGTGCCTTTTGCTTTTCTGACTTAACCCTTACTGATGCCTCTCAAAAGAGTACAATATTTTAATATTTATTGTAATGTATAAACATTTATATAATATATATGTATGCAATATATTGTTATTAGTATCATTAATCTTTTATTATTATGCATTTGTCATATTGTAGGTTTATGACTACATTTTCATTGACTTAAATTTTTATT